ATTGAAAAAAAAAGTAAAAAAAAAAAGTGACACTGATGAAATGAGCCCAATCGATATGGCATTAAAAATGTGACTTCTTTGACTCCAATTTGTATTGGCAGGTTCAGTTTGATGGCAAGCATGGATGGAGGCTGGTTAGAAAATTTCAGAGAAAAGAAAGCTTGGAAACAGATGAGTTTCCAATGTTTCATTCAAGTCCGGCGCTTATCCTAGAAATTGGACCTATTTGGCCTCCAAATTTCCAAAAGGTATTGAATCTATTGATGTGGTAGCTTAAATCCTTGGGAAGGTTGGACCAGATGGCTTCCAATGTCTGCAAAGAAAGGTTGGAACAGGAGTTGGATTCAAACTTCAAAGAAAGGTCAAGGTTGGAACAGGAGATGGGTTCAAACTTCAAAAAAAGGTTAAGGTTGGAACAGAAAATGGGTTCAAAGAAAGGTTGGAACAGATGGGTTGCAAATTGCAATGTATTGGAAGGCTCAATTTGATGAAAAGCAGAGGAACAGGTAGCTTCAACGAAAGGTTGGAATGTCAGAGAAAACAAGGTGGCTTCAAAACCACAGAGTATCCCTAGTTAGGGGAGAGAGAGAGAGAGAGAGGAGAAAAGACACACAGTCTGCAGATCTTTGAAATAGATTGCTTGTTCCTTGTCGAGCTGAGGTTTGGAAGAAGGACGACCTCAGGTTGGAGAGGGGACAACCATGAACGGATGGATGCGCATGCGAGAGGTATATCCGTCCATTCATCTTTTGTTTTCTTGCATTTGCGTTCTCCTCTCTTTTTTATCTCTTACCTACCTTAGGCTTTATTTTCTATTCTGACTCTAGGGAACTATGCGGTTCCCTACAATCAACTGTGAGGTTCGTCAGAATCTTCTGTTTTTTTTGCTTCGTGCCTAACTGTTTTATTAGCTCGTTAGTTTTGTCCTCTAACTTGTTTCTTTTGCAAGAGTGCCAGGTGGCATCATGGTGGCATCAAGCACCTGGCACCTTGCCGTTCACTCTTGCAAAACGATTTGCGTCCTCTTACTTGTTCACTCTTGCCGTCCACTCTTGCCGTCCACTCTTGCCGTCCACTCTTGCCGTCCACTCTTGCCGTCCACTCTTGCCGTCCACTCGTGACGGCAAGAGTGGACAAGGGGGCACCTTGTCCACTACGCTTGGTGCCACCATTTGCATCCTCTTACTTGTTCGTTTTGCAAGAGTGCCAGGTGCTTGATGCCACCATGGACATAGTGACCTCATTTTCGGGCTATCAACCTGTATAGAATTGAGGGGGGGGGGGGGGGGGGGGGGGGGGGGGGGGGGTTGAGTGAGGAGGTAAATGAGCTGGATTTGCATTGTCTTATGGTACGGCCTCTTCTCGGAACCCTGACTTGAATCTTGTAGGGGGGCAGTGGACAAGGGGGTTTGACTTTGTTAGGTGGGTTCTGGAAGATCATTCGACGGTTCGACGGTCAACATAATGTATCCACCTGTACATAGTGAGAGGTGAGCTATCAACCTGTATATAATGAGCTAGGATTGTGTAACCTTCAGACGGCAGGCAGGTAGTGCCTTTTAGAGAGATGGAGGATCTTCTTCTGGTGTGTTAGTGGCGGGGGTGAACTCGGGGCAGTGGGTGGTTCAGTACTCTGGAATATCATTTCTGGGAAGGAGGTGTAAGTTCTACACCATTATACAGTGAGCTAAGGGTGAGCTAGGGGTGAGCTAGGGGTGTGTAACCATTATATTCAGCTTTCAGGCAGGTCATGCATTTGCAAGGTTTTTGTGAGTGAAAGAGGTTAAAGATCTTCATCTGGTTCTTTTCAGCCAATACAGGTTCCTGGAGCCAGCAGTTACCTTGATCTAAGCTGTCTCTGTCAGGGAGCTAAAGGAGGTGAGTGGGCAAGGGGGAGGAGAAGGGGTACAGAACTTCAAGATCATTTCAGGACCAGAGGTGGTTTGTGTTCATCTCTCTGCCTATCTGTGTGTGTGTGTTTGTTTGTTTGTTTGTTTGTTTGTTTGTTTGTTTGTTTGTTTGTTTGTTTGTTTGTTTTTGTGTGTGTGTGTGTGTGTGAGAGAGAGAGAGAGGTCTTGTGTGTGTGTTTGACTATGCCATAGCAAAATACGGTACATGCGCCACGTTATACATGGTAAACCTGATCCAGCCATAAATAACTAATAAGCCATCCTACATGTTTGCCTGATCCAGAAGTATACGTAGCAGATTGTTTCGCCCAATCTGCACCTATTCAATAGGAGGCTGAATCCCGTTACACTGCTTTGAGTCATAGCCTGCTTGAAACTCTGTTGGGAAAGATGATCATAGCAATGCATTCAGCAGCGCGGCATGGACAAGGCAACTTACAGCAAGGCAAAGCGGGCATGCGAGCACGCAGCTACGCGAGCTCACGGCTTCTTGTTTCGCCCGATGTGCACTTACTGAATAGGAGGCTGAATCCCATAACACTGCTTTGAGTCATACGTAGCCTGCTTGAAACTCTGTTGAATCGTAGAAAGTATTCAGCGCGGCGTGGACAAGGCAACTTATAGCAAGGCAAAGCGGGCATGCCAGCGCGCAGGTACGCGAGCTCACGGCTTTCAGATGCGCACACTTGCACTAGGCAGCATGTAGCAAGGCAAGCGGTTGGGCTGGCGGAAGGGGGGCCAGGCATACGACGACACAGCAAGCCATTGAAGACAGTATGCACTGTGTCGGACATAGCAATGCAAGCAGGCGAGAAGGCAGGCAGGCATGCGAGCTGGATGCTGACACAGCAAGGCATGCAGCCGTGCAGAAGCCCATGGACACAGCAAAGATTAATGAGGAGTATCGCATACTCACATCGTACAGAAAGCCCTGCAAACTGTACATTTATGCCACGGTCAACAGCTACGGAACCAGAACACAAACAATTGTCGCTACTGGAAAACACAGTCAAAGACATCCCTGTCTACCACTGAATTCAAGTTCATCAGGGGTCGGTGGCCTGAGCCTCTTCGTTGGCTGCCAGCGCCTGCCCAAAAGAAAGAGTCGGGCCGTTTTGTTTTGGGCTCGTCACATATCACAAATCCACCACGGGAAAAGAGGCTCGGAGGTAGTGGTGGTTTAAAGGTACCCCGCACAAAAAGGCCAAACCATCCAGCAAATGGAGAGCAACACGTATAAAACATGAAAAGTAAAGATCTTAGATAATGTAATTGTCTTAAAATGTATCTGTGTGTGTGTGTGTGTTGTCATATTTGCTATACAGTAGTATACACTCAAAAAAGCATGACTGCGTATGGGTGTGTGTTCCTGTGCACATTTGTGCATGTGTGTGCGTGTGCGTGTGTGTGCGTGTGCGTGTGTGTGTGTGTGTGTGTGTGTGTGTGTGTGTGTGTGTGATGATGTGTGTGAAAAGTTGAAAACACATTTATGTTGGTACTGTATGCCCATATATCCAGTACAACACAGTTGTACTCTGAAAGGCTAGGCCACGTCTCAGGAGAAAACCATGCGCAAAGATTTGAAGACAATTCTCACGTAGTAGTTCTTCTCAATGGACAGGACGAATGCACAAATGGTGGACGACACAAAGAGAGAAACGGAAAAAAAGTTAAAAAAAAACATTTTGTCAGACTTCCACCGACTCGTCAGGAGGCTGAACCCTGGACAGTCTGGAGATTTGACATATTGATGAATTTTAAGTCGTGATTTCCGTTCACCCCCTGTCGCAAGTTGATGGCCAGCAGGCGACATAGCGAGCAGCAGGGCACGGGTGAGGCAACAAGGCACTGAACCCAAAATTGAAATATGCACCGAAAAATCTCACCAGTCTCGCTTTTCAAGCCTCTAGAGAAATTGCAAGGCGCAACAATTGATACGCAAACTTATCAACATTTGTATGATTTTTTGTGCGAGGAAAAGAGTTCAAAAAAAAAAAATAAAAAAAAAAATGGTGCTATTGTGTATATAATATATACTCCGACGAAACAGTTTGTCACAGCCCCTCGTTTGTTGTCCTCTTCTCTCTCTCTGCCTACAGTTTACCGGGCAGTTCTATTTGTGACGATATATATAAATTTATAAAACTTTCTATTGTCTAGCTAGTAGCTAATGAAAACTTGTCTGGCACATAGGCTGGAGGGCATGGGGAATGCTTTTTTTTTTTTTTTTGTGTGTGTGTATGTGAACCAACAAGGCATCAAAGCGGAAAGCCATCAAGGCAGCAAGGCAACAAGGCAATAAGGCAACAAGGCAGCACCAATAAGACAGTGGAGTCATACACCAATGACCAGAGCTGAACATACACCAATGACCAGAGCTGAACATACACCAATGACCAGACCTGAACATACACCAATGACCAGAGCTGAACATCACCTACTCGCAACACAAGTAATACTCAGCAGGTTACAGGCCCACACAACCGTAGGAGCTGAGGAGGCACATCGACGAATGCCTGTCATCACCAAGCGAACACAGACTCAGGCATCCCCAACGCAGCAGATACCGAGAGGCGGTTAATGGAGACCCAAAATTTCAGCGTGGGGTCCCCATTAACCACATGTGGAGCAGATACCATGAGAGTGTCGCAGGAACTCCGATCAAAGGGCAACTGACTATTTGGCACACTGTAAAGGTGCAAACTTAGACACAAGAAAAGCGCAGGAAAAGGCTCGAGAGCGCAGAAAGTGGACAATAGGCAGAAAATGCAGAGTGAGACGTAAAAAAGAAAACACCAAGAAAATGATGAGTGTGTGTGATGTTCAAGTATATTATTACAAACCCCAGCTGTCAACTTCACACCAAGACATGATTTTCCCCAGGCACTTGACTCGCCATGATGTGTTCCCAACTTCCAAGTTCCAACACTTCGCAGTCAAGTGCACTTAAGCAAAAGACGACGAGTGTCCACAATGCAGATAGTAAAGATACAACGGCTGGAGGGCGCGGGCGAGGTGGGAGAGCAGACCGTACACAGGCACACCAAACGAGGGCAACGGAACAACCAACAAGCAAGGAAAAAAATACAAGTCCCAAACAAAAAAACAAACAACCGAAGAAAATAAAAAAAGGTTCAAAAAACACCCATGATGATAGATTGTTTCGTCGGAGTTGCACCGACCCATCAGGAGGCTGAACCATTGACAGTCGTTGACAGTCTGCGGAATCTCCGTATTTGATGGTTTGGGTTGTGAACCCTTTGACCCTTGTTGAAGGCAGACTGACCCCAAGCGGAAAATAGCAGCGGGTAGCAACCCTGTGGAGCACCAGGCAACACAGTGGAGGCAACACGGCTGCACAACGCCAGAAACGACTGCAAGCAACAACATGGCACGCAGGACACGCAACACAGCAAACGTGTAGTGAAGCACAAGACAACACAAACAAGGCAAACGCACTGCAAGGGACGACAGGGCGAACGGACCAGCAGCTCGGTAACCGTGGAGCGAAGCACAAGGCACCAGCAACAAGGCAACCATCCAACAAGGCCCGCAAGAGGCAAACATGGAAGCCGCGGCCCGCGGAAGGGCAGCAAGGCAGCAGAGCAGCGAAGCGCAAGGCAACACCAACAACACAGCCACACCACACAGCGAACGCATCAACCTGCAAAAGACCACATGTGAAGCAAGCGGGCTAGGCGGCAGGGCAGCGGGTGAGCGCAGATGAGGCCGTCCACGCAGCCAAGACGGAGCAAAGCGGCACATGACCTACTCACCTCACGATTGAATCCCGCAGACTGTTGGTTCCCACCACCCACTGAGCCAGGGAGACACTCCAACGAGCATCCATCGTCACCCACAGGCAACACACACACCCCGAGCCGAGTGGCCCCCCTAAGAGTGCAGTGGAACCACCGACTGTTTGGCACTACTTGAGGGTGCTCTGTTGGGTGAGCAAAACTAAGAAAAATATCAGAGGGAGGACAGACAACAAGAGGAAAACAGACAAACATAAAACTGATTGTGTGTGTGTATGTGTGTGTTTGTGTCCTTGTAAGGAGCGATAGCAATAATAGAGACGGGTTAAGTTCTACCTTGAAACGCGGGTGGCGGGAGATCTATCGGGTCTGCCTTGGGGCGTGACCCTGCCGTGTGGGTGGCAGGGTAGTTCGACCAAAGGTGGGTTGACGGGACGAGTGAGCAATATTCTGTGAAGGCGTCATCATGGTGGGCAGTTGTAGGGGGCGATTGCAGACTGGTGGGTGATCTGCCTTGAATTGCAGCTGGTGGGTTGGACCATGGGTCTGCCCTGTCAAGCCGGTGGTAAGGTAGTTTCACGGTTCCGACGGTGGATCTTCCATGGCTTACTTAGGTTGCGACGGTGGATCTTCCATGGCTTACTTAGGCCTTCTGTTCCCTCTTGTTTGCCAGATGACCCACAATCTTCTGATCAACTTGGCCTCAATTTTGTTAGAGAATGTATTAGGGTTTGTGGTGACTGGAGGTCCGGGTTTTGGACTTGAGCAGTGATGTGTTGCCCATCGACAGGACCACCTACCTTTTTTTTCCTGAGGCCCTGTTTCCTCCCTTTTCTAATACAAGTGGACCCGCCGCGGCGACGCCACGGCCCATGGAGGCGGGGAGGAGAGTCAGGGGAGGACGGAGCATGAGGGGGAAGTAAGGGAGGGAAAAGGGAAAGGAGGGAGGACGGAGGATGAGGGGGAAGTAAGGGGTGGGAAAGGGAAAGGAGAATGAGAAGTTTGATATCGGCGATGTATGTTTTTTGTCAATTGATTTTTTGGCCACGGTTGAATATTCAAAAAGCATCGCACAGTGGATGTTTTTAATGTTGTTGTGCATGGACGTTAATTGAAATGCAAAAAAAAGAAAAGGGAAAAAAAAGGGACACAGAAAGCAAGGAGCCGCAGTCCCGTCACCTCCAATTTGTTGTCGTCTTTGTCTCCTGGCGACTTGAGGTTACCTACAGATGTGTTGGTCTCTCTCTCTCTCTCTCTCTCTCTCTCTCTCTCTCTCTCTCTCTCTCTCTCTCTCTCTCTCTCT